ATGTCTTTTTCTGGGACACTTCCACCCATAACAATCTCCTTCCCTCCTGTCTCTAAGTCACAGTCCATATTTAAGGAGCTGAGAGCTAACAGAGGAGAGAATGCCCCCTTGTCTCTTCCTCCCCTCCCTCCCTCCTCTATCTTCCCACTGTCTACCTAGCCCTCTTTATGACCCCAACCTGTAGGAGGCCAGGGTGCTGACAAGATAGGCTGGGCCCCTTCCGTCATGGGCTCCAGGCTAGAAGGTCATGTCAGAAGGCAGTGCGGTGAAGGTGGCTGGAGGGGGCTGTGACCTGTGGGGGGAGGGGACCAGATGTGTTTCTGGGAGGAGCATCCCAGGCAGCTGGTTAGTGAGTGCCCAGGCCCCAATGGGGAGGAACACGGGCTCTGAGGAGCAGAGGGGCTGGTGGGCTTCTGTTGCTGTCCAGGGTGGGCCTTAGGATCCCCCAGCCTCTGAGCTGCAGATCTGGCTGGGGTGGGCGGGTCCAACCCAGGCCGTGTGGACCCCCGGCCTCTGAGCTGCAGGTCTGGCTGGTGTGGCTAGGTCCAACCCAGGCTGTGTGGACCCCCGGCCTCTGAGCTGAGGGTCTGGCTCGAAGTGGGTGAGTCCACCCCAGGCAGTGTGGGTGCTGAAGCCTAGGATGGCACTTGGAGCTGTGCTGCCCTCAGAGGGCTGTGACGGGGTGGGGCTGGTCCCGGAGCAGAGCAGGGAACCTGGCTGGGTGTGGTTTGTGGGGGCAGAGGGCAGCCCTGGCTGATGGACCAGCAGAACGGTGAGATGCAAATGCTGCTGGTCATTCCCACTCCCCCTCCCTGTTTGCCCCCATGACTTCCATGTCTTGCTCACCTCCCCCCCACCCCCAGACCCAGTCCCCCTCAGTGCTGGGGCCCCCAGCACCATGCTGGACCTAAGACCTGGGCCACCCCATGTGTGCCGGCCTGGGGCCCTAGCCAGTGTGGGCTACCTGTGGCTCCTTCACCAGGGGGTGGAGGTGGAGGTGGGACACCTCGGCTTTTGTCCTCCCTTTGGGCTTTGCACCTTTGTGCCTTAGTTTCCTTCCCAGGAAACAGACCTTTCTCCATCACTGAGCTGGTCTGCTCCCTTAGTTTCCTTAAAGAAGGAATCTATGTCCTCACACCCTGTCCATCTTGATCATCCTAAGGCACAGTTGGGAAGCCTCGTCCTGTCCCTGGCCCCAGCCCCATGCACGCTCAAGCTTGGTGAGTTTTAGAGCTGGTCAAGGAGGCGATTGTGCAGAGGAGCTGCCTGGCCGGTATCCGTGATGGAAAGAGGGTCTCGAGTCCCCTTGACTGGCATTCTCATTGAGAGGCTCTGCAGTGCCCATGGCAAGGCTCCCAGTGACTCACTCCTGCAAGCAGATGCCCACCCTCATGGGGATGGGCGTGGATCCTGTCTGCAGGCCTGCCTGGGACCTGAGAGTGGGAGGGCCCACTGGAACTCACCGGGAAGTGTGCAGGAGGGGACAGGCCCCTCTGCCGCCCCAGCTAGCCTGTAGGCACAGCTGCCTGGGGCGGGGTGGGGGTGCCGTTTCTGCCTGCACCGGCAGAGCTGTGGACAGAGCGTGTCTTCACGCACCGCCTAGCTTATCTCTTTCTGAATGGCCTGGGCCACTGTGACAGAAACACCACAGTGGGGGCTTTAAAGAACACAAATTATTTCCACTCACAGTTCTGGAAACTGGGCATCAGCAGGGCCATGCTCTCACTAAAGCCTCTAGGGGCGGATCTTCCCTGTCTCTCTCAGTTTCTAGCGGCCCTGGCTGTTCCTTGGCCTTCTTGGCTTGTAGACAGGGCCTCCCATGTTGTCTCCCCCCTGTGTGTGTGACCCTGTTTCCCTGTCTGTCCTCCTCATTTGTGAAGCCACTCCAAAGGGATTAGGATTAGGACCCACCCTACTCTGGTATGACTTGGTTAACTGATAACATCTGCAAAGAAAAACCCTATTTTCAAACAAGCTCACGTTCACTGGTGCAGGGGTTAGGACTTCAGCATACCTTTTTGAGGGACACATTTTAACCCTTAACAATTTCCTTAGGGCCTTTGTGAAGTAAGGCTGACCAGTTGTTGTTAGGTGCCATCAAGTTGGTTTTGACTCATAGCGACCCTATGTACAACAGAACAAAATACTGCCTGGTCCTGCACCATTCTCATGGTCATTGCTGTGTTTGAGCCCATTGTTGCAGCTACTGTGTCAGTCCATCTCATTGAGGGTCTCTTTTTTGCTGACCCTCTGCTTTACCAAGCATGATGTCTTTCCCCAGGGAATGGTCCCTCCTGATAATACAATAGTCCCCCTTATCTGTGGAGGATACCTGCTAAGACACCCCGAGGATGCCTGAAACCACGGATAGTACCAAATCCTATATATACTATGTTTTGTCCTATACATACATACCTATGATAAAATTTAATTTATAAATTCAGTACAGTAAGAGTTTAACAGCAATAACTCGTAATAAAACAGAACAATTGTAACAGTATACTATAATAAAAGTTATGTGACTGTGGTCCCCAGGTGGGACAGACCGGGATGGCGTGAGATTTCATCATGCTACTTATTTAACATTTCCAGACTGTGGAAGACTTTGGGAAAGTGAAACCACAGATAAGGGGGGGCTACTGTATGTCCAAAGTACATGAGATGAAATCTCACCATCCTCGCTTCTAAGGAGCATTCTGGCTGTACTTCTTCCAAGATAGATTTGTTCATTCTTCTGGCAGTCTATGGTATATTCAATATTCTTTGCCAACACCATAATTTAAATGCATCAGTTCTTCTTTGGTATTCCTTATTCATTATTCCACTTTTGAGGATCAGTAGTACCTCTCAATTTGGGATTTGGAATCGATGCTCAGAAGCTCACCCTTTTTCATCTGGCTCATATATTCTAACACTGGTCCTCACCCACAGTGTCTCAGAGGTCCCAGCGCCCATGTTACAGGATGGAATGCTGAGGCTGGGTTCTGGCGGGGGTGGGTGCAGGACTTGGTGGCTGACATAGGGCCAGAAGCCACCCTCCGGCCCTTTCTGTCACATCTCTGGGTGAGCAGCTGGTCTGCAGGCCAGGGACGTTGGTCCAGGCTCCTCATTTACCACTGGCTTCGTCTGACCCCAAGTGCTCAGTTCCCCGGGCCCCCGAGCGGCTATCTTCATAAGTGGTGCTCTCTATTAATGTCCTCGTGGGGTTACTGTTAATCGCGGGAGGAGCTCATCCTGCTGTTTACAAACAGGGCTGCCCAGGAGGAGCACACGGTGGAAAATATTGGCATGTTCTGTTCCTCTCTGAGCGAATGAGTTCTTGGGCTCGGCTGGTGCAGCCCCGAGCCTGTTTGCTCAGCAATCAATCTCCAGTGTTTGCTTGAGTGAAAACGGAGTGAACTTTACGTGAGCAAATTTGTTGTTAAAAAGTCATTATCCAATCAGACCAGCACCATTCCTGCACTGTACAGCTAATGACAAAACAATCTCTCTTGAAGAGACAAACAGCAAACTTTTCCATGTTGTACTTCTCCATTTCGTGAGCTGTTGCCCACGGAGATGTGATAGAGGAGAACCTGGTGCAGGGCGGCATGTGGAGATTTACTGATCAATAAAGGAGCTGATTACAGCTCGCTTGTGTGGGAATGCCCCCGCCCCAGAGCAGCACTGACACTCTGGCAATGATGACTCTGATAACCCTGGTAACCAGCTCGAGACGATAAAAGTCAATGAGAAGATATAGGATTTCAATAAAATTATGACACCCGATAAACCTGCCTGCAAAAACAAATTTTCCATAGATATGTGGCCAGTTCCAGTTGGATTTGTAACTTTAATTTCTCACTTATTGGATTTTTTGTCATCAACTAATTGTGCCATCCATGGTGAGGTGACAGCTGTGTGTCCGAGACCATGAAGGAGGGTGGGAGGGTGTGAAGCTCGCACAGTGGGACCAAGGCTCTGGGACTCCAAGCCCCTCACCAGAATGTAGGGACATTCCTACGCCTCTTTCAGGGGCCTGTGCAGGGGCAGAGTCCCTGGGTGGTACAAACAGTGAATGTGCTGGGCTGTTGACCTAAAGGTTGGCGGTTCAAGTTTACTCAGAGGCACCTTGAAAGAAAAGCCTGGTGATCTGCTTCTGAAAAATCAGCCATTGCAAACCCTCTAGAGCACAGTTCTACTCTGACATACAGGGCATCACCATGAGTTGGAGACCAGTAGAAGGCAACTGGTTTTAGGCAGGGGTTGGTGTGTGTCATTGATTCCTTGGAGTAGCTGGAGGATGGGTATGGTCTTTCCTGGGAGCAGAGGGTGGGTGGTGGGAAGCAGCTAGGGCCATGGGCATGGTGGGCCTCAGCACAGAAGAAGTTCCTGGTGATCGCTCAGATACCCCTGGGTGGTCACCCTGGTGTCTCGTCCCCAGGTGGTCTGACAAAGTAGGTCCCTGTCGGGCCCAGGAGTCTGCCCTTCCTGCTGGTGCTGGTGTGGGCCAACCTGGAGCCACCGGAAGTGCCGCCCTCGGGAGGGACCAGCTGGGGGATGCAGCAGGCCAGGGGCAGGGTACACCAGCCTCCTCCCCACCCTTCTCCTGTGTCTGCCCACAGGAGCGCACCTTGAACAGGGAGAGATTTGTTCTTCTGTCATGTCGCGAGCATCAGTTGTTCCCAGGCCCACACACTGAGCACGTTGTCCCTGGTGGCTTTCATCTCCACAGCCATCCTGTGAGACACACGCTGGGGCTCCACGCTCCCCGGGCATGCTGGGCCCATCTGGTCCTTCAGAGCTGCTTTGGGGTCCTGAACCATCTGAGGCCCTTCCCCTGCACCCTCGGACACTCTGGAGCTGGGCCCCACCAGCAGTTGTCCCTGGCACTGGTCCACCCTGAGGGCCCTCCAATGACAGCTGCCCCAAAACCACAAATCTGGCCCTCTGCGCCTGTCCCCAGCCCCATGGTGCCACCCTGATCGCCCACTGGCCCTGACCACCCACTCTGCCCACAGGAGCGAGATGGCATGCGGGCCATCCTGGGTTCCTACGACAGCGAGCTGACACCAGCTGAGTACTCACCGCAGCTGACGCGCCGCATCCGCGAGGCTGAGGACATGGTGCAGAAGGTGCATGCCCACAGCTCCGAGGTTGAGGTGAGTGAGGGCCTATGGGGGACAGAGAGCCTCTCCCTGGCAGGCTCTTGGCGAAGCTGGGCAGGGCTAGGTAGGCACTGCTCCCTCACCCTGGCAGGTGTGCTTGTTGTTGTTGTTGTTCTTGGTGTGTGTGTGTGTGTGTGTGTGTGTGTGTGTGTGTGTGTGTGTGTATGCACACTGGTTCTCCTGCTGACACTGCATTGGCACTGCCAGTCTCTCTCACTGAGGGGGCTCCGTGTGGCACAGTGAGGAGCAGTCCCTACTGGGTGGAGGTCTTACACACTCTGAGGCCTCTGCTCTCGCCAGCCTGGGGGCTGGAGAGCCGGCTCTAACACCGGAAGTGCCCACCTGGCCATGTGACCCGGCTGTGTCCCCCACCTCCCTGCCGCAGGCTGCAAGTGGCTCTCTACTTAGCCAGCTCAGAGGAAGAAAGGCCTCTTTCTTCCACCGCCCCATGGCGTCTTTGCATTGTTTGTGGGCACCCAGGCCATACCGGGCCTGCAGGAAGGCCCCCGCCTCGTGGGCAGGCAGAGCCACCCTGGCTTGTTTGTGCCAGGAATCATGTGCAGCCACTGCAGCCCCCCACCTCACACCCAGCCCTCTTCTGCACCCTTAATCTGATCCTCACTGCCACCCGAGAAGTGAGACCATTGTTATACTCATTCTGCTGATGAGGATACCGCAGCACATAGGGGTCCAGGACACTGAGCCAGCAAGTGACAATGCTGGCTCTGCAGTGAGTGCTCCACCGATGCCCTTCAGGGATCTGAGTAACCAGCAACTTGGCACTGGCACAGCGTGGCCCATGGACCCTGAGGAACCATTGTGGCTAGGCCCTGACTGCTGATGTGCCAGGTATGGATATGGCACAGATAAACACGGAGCAGCCCCTGTGCTGAGGGCCACGGTTGGGCCCAGGAGGCACATCATCAGGTATTAGCGGATGGGTGATTCCGCCTCCAGCAGGTCTGAGTGCAGCTGCCTGCTTGGCATCAACCAGCATCCTTGAGCACTGGCCCTGTCCTGGGGTGGGGGGTGTGCGGCAACGCGGCCGATGACTCGCTCCTCAGGGGCTGATGTCGTGGTTGAGGGAGCCACGTACTAAAATGGACATTGTACATTATGTAGTATGAGAAACAGTCATACAGAGATGAGTTGTCCTGGGAAGGGGCTGTGCTGACTGGTCCTCCTGAGGGGAGGGCATATTCAGGTCACGGATGTGAGAGAGGTGGTGTCCCCCTAGAGCAGTGGTTGGCAGATTGCCTGTGGGTGGGACGGGGGAGCTCTGGGCACTGTGGGATGGTGTGTGGTGAGGGCTGAGATGGGAAGGACATGGGGCCTGGCGGTGTCAGCCACACTGAAGAGTCCCAGCTGGCACGCTTGGGGACTTGGGTAGGAGATAACCCCAGCCTGGGGCTCAACCCCCCACTTCCCCATTTGGGGTCTGGGGTAGGGAACATCCCCAGCCTAGTGCACAGACCCCCACTCCCTGTTTGGGGTCTAGGGTAGGGGATACCCCCATCCTGGGCCACAGCCCCCACTTTCCCATTTGTCAGGAACAAACCTGGAGAGACACCCATCAGGCTGTGGTCCTTTGGTGTCCCTCCAGCCTTGGAGTGCCAGGCTGCTGGCTGGGATGTCTGCCTTGACACCCACCTCTCCTCGCATGCCTTCCCTTTGTGTCTGCAGGAAAGGAGCCAGCAGCTGGCCTGGGTGTGCATTCCCTCTGAGGGCTGCTGCTGACCTTGCCCCATGCAGACTTCCCTTCTGGTTAAAGGCAAACTCCGCCACACCCGTGATATCATTACAAATAGAAATGCGCTAATCACTGTTCCATTACTGCCTGTTTGGCACCATATGAAATATTAATGAAGAGAGATGTGTGGGGCAAGCTCCCTCCGACACCTGCCATCGTCCTCGGCATTTTTTATGCTGAGAGATGGCTCCTGTCTGGGCATACCATATGCTCTCCAGTCAGCTAATTGCAGGCCAACAGTTTTGGCACGTCACATGCCATATGTTCTGTGTGTCTGCACACCGGGATGATCAGCACTGTCACCATGGCAGCCTCTATAGGGCTGCACATCTGTCCCCGGATGGGGCCCTCAGCCAGGGGCTGCCACTCACCCACCAATGGGCTTAGTGCCAGGGGCCCCCACAGGCCCACCATGTCGCCCTGTCCCCAGTACTCCTGCAGGGACCGCTTGGCCTGGTTTGCCCAGCTCTTCCAGCTTTCCTGATGGCTCTGTGCCCCAACCCCAGCCAAGGTAGGGATGCATGGAAGGATGGATGAATGGATGGATGGATGGATGGTGGGTGGATGGATGGGTGGATAGATGGATGGATGGATGGATGGGTGGGTGGATAGATAGGTAAATGGGTGGTGGGTGGGTGGGTGGATGGATGGGTGGGTAGACGAATGAGTAGATGGATGGGTGGATGAATGGCTGAATAGATGGATGGACAGATGGGTGGGTAGAAGGGTGGGTGGATGGATGCGTAGGTAGATGGATGGGTGAATGGATGAATGGGTAGGTGGATGGGTAGATGGATGGATAGATGGATGGATGAATGGTTAGGTGAATGGTGGGTGGGTGAGCATACTGGGGCACGAATGGTTCTTCTGCACACACTTGAGTTAATTCGTCAATGGATGAGTAGGAGGTGCATGGGTGGATGGATCGCTTTTCTGGTTGTAACCCAGGCCACAATGACCAGTGTCTGTGCTAGGATTAAGAGCCTACCCCAGGTCCCCCTGCTTCTGCACCCTGAAGTCCTGGATCTCAGAGTCTGGAGGCTGTCCCAAGGCCTGGGCCTGGGTGCTGTGTATGCTGGCTCCGCTCTCGACTCTGCAGCTGGAGCAGAGGTCCTCCAGCATCCTGGCTTGCCCCCTACCCTCCAAAGCCCCTGCAGCTGCACCTCAGGCAGTGGCCTTGAGCCCCTTCCTTGGTCCGACCATCCTGGCTGCCCCCTCCCACCCACCACCAGGCCCGGCATGCAGTCTCTGCAGGGATCAGGGTCTTGCCTCAGTCAAGGGGGGAGGCCCTGGAGAGTTCTGCCCCATCAAGGATGGATTGCAACTTTAACTCTGGTAGGATCCCCCTTTCCTTGCCTCGTGCTGCTGCCTCTGAGCTGGGAGCCAGGGCGACCTGTTCCTGTGCCCTGGCAGGTAACCAGAAACCACTTGCTTTCGGGTGTCTGAAATGAGTGGTCTCCTTCACCTTTGGGAGCAGCAGTAACAGACTGATTCTGTTTGTTCTGTGTTGTCTGGCTGGGCATCCTGGCTGGTCTGGGGCCTGCATGCTGGATGGAGTTTTGCCCCTGGAGCCTGAGTTCGGAGACCCTGAAAGATTCAGGCGTGGAGGACTATGTGAGCATCCTGCCCCCCACTAGGTGGCAGCAGATAGGGCTGCTGGTCCTACTGAGAACAGAGCACAGCTGAGCCTTGGGGTGGGGCCAGGGAGGAGCAGTCGGGTGGGAGGAGGGGTGGAGGAATGGGGTTGGGGTGGAGGGGTGGGGAAGGGCACAGCATCCGTGTACAAGCTGCCTTCGATGGAGCTCTGGACAGGTGATTCCAGGGGTGTGTGTGTGGTTGGGGGGAGGCAGAGCAAAGTTTCTTTGCCTCACCCTGTATCTTCTCGGGAGTCCCTGGTGATGCAAATGGTTAAACTCTTGACTACTAACGAAAAGGTTGGAGGTTTGAACCCACCCAGAGGCACCTAGAAGGAAAGCCTGGTGATCTACTTCTGAAAAATCAGCCATTGAAAAACCCTGGTTCTACTCAGCACACGTGGGGTCTACTCAGCACACATGGGGTTGCCATGAGTCGGAGGTCAACTAAGTGGCAACTGGTTTGGGCCTTGGTGCTCTCTCCTGCCCACCTCCAGACACCTTCTCGTTTCCTCCCCAGCCCTCTCTCAGAACCTGTGTTGGGGAGAAGGGTGTCCTTCTTGGCGGCCACCACTACCTCCATCAATCCACTCTCTCACTGACCTAAGAGCAGGAGAGAACCAGGGGGGCATTGCTAGCAAGGGTGCTTGTGTTAGGGTGTGCCAGGGACCTGGGCTTGTACTGGAAATGTGAAGTCCCCTTGCAAGTCCACAAAGGTGGTTTGATGCTAGAGACTCCTTCGGAAGTCAATAAAGTCAGGAGATGGGAGAGGATACAATGCTGTGCTGTCAGTCTGTGGTAATAGCATTGAGGTGTGGGTCTGGGTTTGCTCTGTTCAGGTTCAGGGCACTGCCTTTGTCCAAGTCAGGGAGCCTCACAGTGATTTCAGGAGAGGAGACGGGCAGAGGGGAGCAGCCTTGCTTAAAAGATGGAGCCCCAAAGCCCAAAGAGCTGGCATGACTCACCTCGGTCCCAGCAATTTAACAGGAGAGCTGAGTTCTGTACACACCGAGTGGGTTGGTTGATGGATGCATGGATTGATGGATGGAGGATGGAAGGAGTGGTAGACTGGTGCATAACTGGTTGTGCACACATTTGAGTGGGTTGGTTGATAGATAAATGGAGTGTGCATGGATGGATGGATGGATGCTTGGATGGATGGATGGACGGATGCGTGGATGGATGATGGATGCTTAGATGGCTGGATGGATGGACGGATGGATGGATGGATGGATGGGTGGGTGGATGGATGGATGGATGGAAGTGCATGGATAAGTGAGTAGGTGGGTAGATGAGTAAGTGGATTTTCTCATTCAGTAAATATTTACTGAACACCCGCTCTGTGTCAGGCTCTGTTCGCAGTACCAGGGACACAGCAGTGAGTACCACCATTAAAGTTTCTCCTCTTGTAGAGTTTACATCCAATGGAGAATATGTTTTTAGGTGCTGTTGAGTCGATTCCAATCCCATGCGACAGAGTAGAACTGCCTTATAGGGTTTCCTAGGCTGTAATCTTTATGGGAGCAGATCACCAGGTCTTTCTTCCTGCAGAGCCACTGGGTGGGTTTGAACCACTGACGTTTCATTTAGCAGCCAGGCACTTAACCCTT